GCCTCCCAGAGTGCTGGGATTACAGGCGTGAGCCACCACGCCCGGCCAAATTTTCTATGATTTTATACAAATGGAGTCATGTAGTATGTACACTGTTTTGTCTGGCATCTTTTCACTTAGCAAATTCTTTTGAGATGTATTTGTGCTGTTGTACATATCAATATTTCATTTCTTTTTATTGTATGGATATACCATAATTTATCTCCTCATATGTTGATGGACATTGGGTTGTTCCCAGTTTTGGCTATTATAGATAAAGTTCGTATAAACATACATGTACAAAGCTTTATATGGACATAGTCTTTCTTTTCTCTTGAGTAAATACCTCGGAGTGGAAAAAATAGTTGAATTATGCAGTGGGTGGGTATTTAACTTTTTAAGAAACTGCCAAAGAGATTTCCAAAGTGGTTGTACCATTTTATATTCCCACTGGCAATGTTTTCTCCACATCCTCATCAACACATGGCATGGACATTCTTTTTAATTTTAGCCATTCTAATAGGTGTGTAGTGATAGCTCATTTTGGTTTTAATTTATATTTCTCTACTGGCTAATGATGTTGAGTATCTTTTCATACACTTAATTGCCATCTATATGTCTTCTTTGGTGAAGTGTCAGTTGAAATCTTTTGCCAATTAAAAAAAATTGAGTTGATTTTGTTCTTTCTTCCTTTTTCTTTTTTTCTTTAGAGACAGGGTCTTGCTCTGTTGCCCAGGTTGGAGTGTAATCACAGCTCACTGCAACTTCAAACTCCTGGATTCAGGTGATCCTCCTGCCTCAGCCTCCTGAGTAGCTGAGACTATAGGCATGCCACCACACCTGGCTAATCTTAAATTTTTTGTAGAGACAAGATCTCACTACGTTCCCCAGGCTGGTTTCAAACTCCTGGCCTCAGGTGATCCTCCTGCCTTGGCCTCCCAAAGTGCCGGGCTTACAGGCGTGAGCCACTGCACCTGCCCAATTATTTTGTTATTACTGAATTTTGAGAGTTCTTTATATATCCTGAGTATAAATTCTTTATCAGATATCTGCTTTGCAGATATGTTCTCCTAGTCTATTGCTTATCTTTTCATTTTTTAAATTGGGTCTTCTGAAGAGTGCAAGTTTTAAATTTTAATGAAGACCAATTTATCCATTTGTTCTTGTAGGAATTGTACTTTTGGTGTTATATCTAAGAAATATTTGCCTAACTCAAGGTCAGAAAGATTTTTCTCCTGTGTTTTCTTTAGGAGTTTCAGAACTTTAGGTTTTATGTTTAGATCTATGATCCAGTTTGCGTTATTTTTGGGTATGGTGAGAGATACGGCTTTGAAGCACAAGCACTCTCTCTCTCTCTCTCTTTCTCTCTTTAGATGAATGTCCAATTGTGTAAGCACCATTTGTTGAAAATATTATTATTTTTCCAGTAGATTGCCTTTACACTTTTGTAGAATATCAGTTGTCCACATATGTGTGGGCTATTTTTGGACTTTCTTTTCTGTTCTGTTAATCTGTTTGTCTATCTTTACACCAATACTACCTTGTTCTGATTACTATAGCTTTGCAATAAGTCTTGAAGTCAGGTAATGCTGGCCTTCCAACTTTGTTCTTTTTCACAGTTGTTGTGGCCCTTTGCATTTCCATATGGATTATAGGACCAGTTTGTCAATTTCTGTATATTGATCTTGTATTTTGTAAACTTGCTGAACTCACTATTAAATAGTAATTCTGTAGATTTGGATTTTCTATATAGACGATCACATTTTCTGTGAGTAAAGGCAGTTTTCCTTCTTCCCTTCCAGTCTAGGTGCATTTTATTTATTTTTCTTGCCTCACTGCTCTTGGTAGCTCCTCCAGTATAATATTGAAAAGTTGTGAGTAGACATTTTTATCTTGTTTCTGATCTTAGGGAGAAAACATTCATTCTTTCATTATTAAATATTATGTTAGCTATAGTTTTTCATAGACTCCTTTTATCAGATTGGTGAAGTTCTCTTGTAGTCCTGGTTTGCTGAAAATTTTTATCAGAAATGGGTTTTAGAATTTGTCAAATGCTTTCTATCCATCTATCGTGATGATCATACAATTTTAAAAAACCTTTTAA